AAGGATGGTGTGGAACTATAGGGACAGCAGGTGGGAAAGGGTTGTAGGTGGTCGACAGTGGTAGTGGGGTTGTTGGGAAGAGCTTGAAAGGAGTTGGGAAGGCGGGTCAGGAATCATAACCCCTGGGAGGGGGGATGACAGAGAGAGAGGTTCATAGCTGAAGAGTGGGGAGAAGAAGGTTTAGAGAAGGTAACTGGGAGGATATATTCACCACCTTCGAGAGGATACAACCAAAGCACCACCACCTCCTCAGATACAACTTACAAAGGGGAAAGAGACTCCATACAGAAGATCTGAAACGAAACACCCCAAGAACTAACTTCCTACATATCTAAGACTGCAATTTATAGGTACCATTCGGATGAAGGAAGCTTCTACACAAAGGAATAGAGTGGGAGTGTAGAGAAATCCAAAGAGCACTCCCTAGAGCAGCCAATTCATGATGCCCCAAGTTGGATCGCAATAGTTCGCGATCCTTCCTGTCTTGCACGAGATCTTCGCTTGCGAGGATTCGTGAACTCCTGCTCCCCATTCTACGGCGCTCTCGCTTTTGTGATGCCAAGCGGACTGGCCCCGCGGTTCAAATCGCCCGAATTGGGCACTGTTTTAGGGCCTGTATCAGTCTCCTGGGGTTGGGAAACTTCGACTTTACTGAAACTAGTAGGAAAATTAGTGAAAACACAAAAAACAAACTTTCATTAACATTAAAACAAGATTACAACATAACTCAAGAAGATATAACAACAAAAGACATAAAATTACACAAACAAACACTTCTAAATATATTCCAATGGATGGAGGAGATCAGCTAGAGAGACAAAGAAGATTTGGAGGAAAGGCAACAGTTACGGGAGGCAGATGACAATTAAAGGATGGTGTGGAACTGTAGGGACAGCAGGTGAGAAAGGGTTGTAGGTGGTTGGCAGCGGTAGTGGGGTTTGTTGGGAGGAGCTTGAAAGGAGTTATGAAGCGGGTCAGTAGTAATAACCTGTGATAGGGAAATGAATAGGTGCCAGGGTGATAGGGGGAGAGTTTGGTATTTGAAGAGTGAGGAGGAGAAGGTTTGGGGAAGGTAAAAGGGAGGAAAAAATCACCATCTTAGAGATGATACAACCGAAGCACTACCACCTCCTCGAATACAACCCACAAAGAGGAAAAAGACTATTCACAGGAGATTTGAAGCGAAACACACCAAGAACTGACTCCCTACAAAACTAGGAAAACAATTTATAGGCTCCCTCCGGATGGAGGAAGTTTCTACACAGATGAAGAAAGTGAGAAGCCTAGATAAATCCAGATAACACTCCCTAAAGCAGTCGATTCGTAATGCCCCAAGTCGGATCACGATAGTTCTCGATCCCCACTGTGACCATTCTTACCTTCGCACGAGATCTCCTATAATTGTGTTCCTTCCCGAGGATTCGCAAACTCTCGATCCCCCTTCTGCGCTGCTCTTGTTTATGTGATGCCAAGCTGACTGACCTCGCGGTTCAGAACTCCTAAACCGGACGTTGCTTTAGAGTTCATAACCGGGCAATGTTCAGCACCCCGAATCGGGCGCTGTTTTAGAGCCCGTAATTGAGCGTTGTTAGCGCCCGTATCACTAACCTTGATAATGTGCAAATTCCTAAATACATATAAAGCTTTTGAAAGCCCATAATGGAGGAAAGCTATGTAAGAAGTGATTTTAACACTAAAGTGTAATGACATATGGACTCTTACTTCCCCGAGATAAAAAGTCACTTAGATACAAATGAATGTTCAAAATAAAATACAAAGGTGATGAGAGTGTTGAGAGATACAAAGTCAGACTTGTTGCTAAAGGTTTCACACAAGCCTATCAAACTGACTATCAGGAGGCCTTCGCACCAGTTGTCAAATTGAATACTATAAGGGTTCTTCTTTCAAAAGCAGTTAAAAAGAAATTGAGTTGCATCAAACTGAAATAAAAAATATTTTCTTGAATGGAAACTTAGAAGAATAGGTGTATATAGAGATACCACCAAGATTTGACAATGATTCCAACAAACACCTTGTACGACTCAAAAAGTCTCTCAATGGTTTTAAAAAATCATTATGGGTGTGGTTTGAAAGATTTGTTAAATCTATGAAATCCATTGAATATTCTCAAAGTCAAGCTGATCACAAATTATTCATATAACACACTCAGGGAGATAAAATTATTGCATTGATCGTATATATAGATGATATGATTTTTACCAGTGATATGAAAGATAAATTCTTAAAATAAAAAAATAATGGTGGTTGAGTCTGAAATCAAGAACCTAAGAAACATGAGAGATCTTCAAGGTATGGAGGTAGCAAGATCCAAGAAAGGGATTTTTATATCACAAAAAAATACATCCCAGATCTGCTAAAGGAAACAAAACATGGATGATTGGATGCAAACCTGTTTATTCTCCATTGAAACCCAACCAGAAGTTTAACAGAGAAGAAATATCTGTGAAAAAGGGAAGATACTAAAAATTAGTAGGAAAACTCATCTATATGTCACATACTAGGCCAAATATTGCATACTCTGTCAGCCTTATAAGAAAACACATGAATAATCTAAAAGAATAGCACTTGGAGATTGTTGACAGGATTATGAGATTTCGAAAAAAAACTTTTGATTATGTTTTAATTTTTAAGAAAATCAAAAGCAAAGAAGTGGAAGCTTACACTAATGCTAGTTGGGCGGGAGAACTCACTGACAGAAGGTACATATATGTATGGGCAAATCTGGTTACATTGAGAGGTAAGGAGCAAGTTATTGTCTCGAGAAACAGTGAAGAATCGAAGTATAGGACACTTGCTTTGGGGATTTGTGAAGAGATCTGGATTCATAAATTGTTAAGGGAACTGGGATGTTTTTCTAATAGGCCTACTCAAATGTTTTGTAATAGTCAAGCAGCTATCAGTATTGTCAAGAATTTTGTGCATCATGACAGGACCAAGCATAGAGAAATTGATAGACACTTTAGCTCTGAAATGATCAATCAATGAGTTATACAGCTAAGCCACATCCCCACACACCAAAAAATTATTGATGTCTTTCACCAAAGTTGTACCTTTCAGTACCTCTCAGAATTCAATACCAGGCACAGTCTCTATAGCATATATGACCCAGGTTAAGGGGGTCTTAGAAATGTAAGAGGATTTAGTCCTTTTCATATTTACCTCTACTATGTTGGTCGACGATCACCTCCAAATTTTGGAGGATTTGATTTGGATGTCTTAAGAAACCTTTGATTGTTTATTCCCTTTCTATTTATGTTTTTCTATTTTTTTATTCAGAATTATTTCCTTTCCTAATTTAAGTAAGATATGTTTGGTCAGTTTGTAAATAAGGAGGGATAGGTTTCCCAATACACATGAACCCTATTTGAGAATAATAAAAAAAATGTTCCTCCCTTAGTAAATTCTACAGCTTATGTATTATTGTGTTATGCTTAGCTAAGGCATCTCAACTGCTTAGCCAGTTCATGTCGGTCAACAATTTTTATTTTTTGAGCCACTTTGATTACCTAGTCAATTTATATTTGAGCATGCTCAGTTGAGCTAAACCACCTCAATTACTTAGTCAATCTATGTCGGGCAGCACAATTCTTAAGATCACAAGGGGAATATGCCCCATCAATCCATGTTGAGAGTCATATGTTACCAACAAGCGCATTGTATCCATCGACACCATGTGCTTGTTGAGGGTTTGTTTGTTGGCATTATTTTTGGTGCAACATATATGCAAATATAGTTTGGTTATTTATGACTACTTAGTTGTAATAGTAGGAGAAAGTTTACGCATTATTCTGGGATTATCTAGGTCACTTTATACTATCATTTAGGCTTCGTTTCAGAGGGCTTTTTGGCTCCTTTCCGGTGAACAGAAAGCAGATAAAATGAAGAGGGTTTGATTGAGCAACTTCTCTGAAATTTCCTTTCACCTCAACGCCGCAAAATGTTGATTTTGAAATGTGAATGCTACCTGACTTTCAGTCCTCCATTACGCAATTCTATATTCAAAATTTTGGAACATGAATGATACATGCATTTCGGAATGTGAATGCTACCTAGATTTCGGAACGTGAGTGTCCCAAGGCTTTCAGCAAACACAATAGAGTAACAAATAATGCCATGAAATGTCAATTCCATTGACAATTTATAACATTATAAACGCCAAATTACTTTTATCCACAAGCATTTGACATTGGACTTGACAAGGACAATATGCCAAATAAATTGCACTCCAAAAAAGAGCAAATGCAAAAGTCTACCTTATATACGCATATAATAAACCATCGTAATCATAAAAAATTTACTAAATAATTCAAAATTAATAAAAAATTCAGATTCAAGCCCCACTTACCATCTAAAAATTAACACCTATACAATATTTTCATTGTTAGTGCAAGTTCCTGTAAGAAACTGGCATGCTAGGCACCATCTTGATGCATAGTGCTGCCCTTAAGACATGTACCATGGCCCCGTGCCTAAGATGCTAAAGTTTAGATTAAGATTGCTTATCACTCTTCTGCTAGCATAATTTTAAACGCATTTTTAATGATAAATATTGTCTTCAAAACCACAACAATTACACGCATATTGTTATATTAAATGTATTTTCTAACAGAAGCTCACGTACCATCTAATAGAATTACTCTGAAGGTAGAGGAATACGTTCTGAAGAATGTGAAACCTGGGAAAACATTTATGTCTTACTTAAATCCGTGCTACAGCAACATAAGGGCACTTAGAAGTCATCCAATAGGTTTCTGACCCACATCATTAAACTCAAACTTATTAAAAAGAAATTAATACTTTCAAAAGAGACAAGACAAGCTCGTGTACAACAGACGTATGTGACAAAGTGGATAATGTCACATCACATAGTAGAAACTAATAGTAAAAATCAAAGAGTCATGCAAAAGGAATTGGCGATATGTTGACAAAACAGAAAACACAAAATAAAAAAACAAGTACGTTCAGATAAAGGGTCATACCTGTGGATCAACTATCCAACCGTGATAAAGTCCAATATCTAGGAGATCAAATATGGCGCATTCACGCGTAAACTCAAAATCATTAATCCTAACCAAGCATTACAGAATTAATAGCAGTTCTTACGAACACTGGTTAAATGAATCTGAAATGACAAACTTAAATCAATACTTTCTGAATTGCACGTTCACGTCAATCCCAGTGGCAAGCCTAGGGAGAAGATCAATAGCATCCGCAATGTTCTGTTGTTGGTTGATAAGATATCCATCGTCCTTGTCCTGTTCTCAGTAAGCAAAACAACATCACAACAAATCCCTAGAAACTCAACCAACGAAAAAACCATCCTCCTCCAATCAATCCAAAAAAGATAAAAACCTGCAAGCTGCAGTTAGAATCAATTAGTCTCCCCGCCACAAGAGAAAGCAACTTCTGCAGCGGCACTTCCGGTGCGTCCAAGCTCAGATTAATGCTATTCCGAAGCAGCAGAACGTTGCCTGTTCCACCAACCATCGAAACAAGAGCAGCACAAAAACAATAAGGAAATCCGAATCAAACAAATCGTCTTGAAATCTACTTTCCAACAATAAACCCCCAATGGCGGAGCAATCAATCTCCCGACTCGCCAGAAAGCGTAAAACCAGATAGAACGGGGGCTTGACAGCTACATTTCAGCAAATTAGAGGAAAAAGGGAATGAGAACTCACAGATGGCAAGGAGCGGGCAGGGACCGTTGTCGTTTTGGAGCACGATTGGCGTGGAGCGGCCGAGGAACTGGACGACCTTCGTTTTGTATGCGACGTCGTCACCCCCCGGCTCCAACTTCCGGTCATCGGTCGCCATGATTGATCCGATGATCACCGAACAAATCCGAAGGAGAAAGAAAGTAAAGATCGTCGCGCGAAGTAATCGAGCCCGTAGACCACCGAGCGACCAACTCTTCTCGGTCTCCCGTTTTATCGCTTGCTGGGTTTATACTCGTCTTCGTTTCGGTTTTTGCTATACCCGCTCAGACCACGTGTCGTGTCCACCGTTGGATCCACGGAACGAGACTGGAGCACATCCGGCCGTAGGAAAATGTCAACCTGGTCTTCGCCGACACGTGGGCCATTAATATTGAAAATAAATTATTAACGTGTAACTGTTCTCTATAATGTGGTTATATATGTCTGAATACATTTTTTCTTGAATTAGAATGCATTTATAGACACTTATAATGTTGGCAAGCTTGTTTGGGCCTCAATGAAATTTGATATTCAAACTTATTATTTGAACATAGCTTCTAATAAAATAAATAGACTCAGACATATATTCAAATAAGATTCAAAATTATGTTGAAATTTAATCTGGGTTTTATTTAAGCATTGTTTGAATGTATATTTGAACTCAGTTGGAACCTAGTTTTAAACAATTGCTTAAGAAAAGGTGTCTGTATTTGGGATTGAATGTGATTTGATCCATAAGTTCCAATTAAATATTCACCATTATCTTGTTAAAATGTATTCATTTCATTTGTTTTGATATGTAGACAATTGTTGAGATATACTATTTTCTTATAGGCATTATATAGCAATGCTAATATATATTACTAAGGTTAATAGAGGAAATGATAAATCGCAATTTGAAGCAGATAATCAATAGAAGGGTCAAGCAGAGCTCTTCATGAAGCACTTCATGCTACCAAAATTGTCATTCTTTAAGGCCCTAATCCATTAATTTGTCCTGAGGAAAATTGAAGATTAAAAGAATGATAAATACAATGTTATATTTAAAATTGAACATAAACATTAAATTTTTAATTTGTGTTGATCATTAGATTAAAATTTGACACTTATTTCCTTGATAAGAAATTTGAAGAGGTCACTATAATAATAAGTCTAATTAAGAATTGCTTGGATGATAATAGGGCTTGAAGAATATTAATCTTGGAAAGGCTCTCATGGAGTACATAGTTAGAGAAGTTTTTTGAGAGCCAAGTTTTTTCTTTGTTGTTGATGATTTTTTCCTCAATCATGAGAAAAATAAAGATATGATTATTAAGCTCCCGATAATTATTGAGGATGATGCTCTCTTTTTTTCAATTTGTATGGTCATAGGAACGGAGAAGGACATGATCCAAATTTTGAATTTTTTTTTAAATAAGTGAATGCCTTAAATACTATTACTGGATTTTCTATCCTATCATAGTATTGAACTTATAAGGCTATTTTAAAGCTTGAGTAGAGCAATGCATAATTCCTTAGTGAGAAATTTTGCAGGGTGTCAAGTTTAATAATAAAAAAATATTTGAAAGTAAGAGATTGTTGTAACTTTTAACAATAAAGATGTTAAGTCATGAATTTTCTTATGTTTTGACTATTGCTTTGGTAAAATAGCATAGGAAACTAGCTTTCAGTTTTATATCAAATTCCTTTATTTTTCTTTTTTTTTTATTTTTTTTTGGAGAGTGATAGGTAATCCCACACTAATGCATATAGCTAATGAGAAAGAATTTTTATAAATTTATTATAAAGTTTTTTTCATTAGCCACTTTTAGGTATGGTTATATCATTTAATGTTACAATATTGTTTATGATTTTTTAATCCAAAAATGCACTTTTCCTTTTAATAAAGAAGTGGCACTAGCTTTACCAAAAGTTATTTACACTAAATTTATTTATTATGGATGATATTTCTAACTAGTATTGTAGAGCATTTGTTCTTGATATAACAAAGAAAATAAAAGGAAAATTCTTTTTTTAGTTGTTGTCACCTTTCTTTTAGTATGCAATTAGTGAAGAGGAGAGATTTTTAAGAACTAGCCCAATGTATAAATAATGTAAAATCCAATGTACTAGAACAAAATTCATTGAATGGTAAGTACAATTGTATTCTCTAAGAAGTTGATGAAATAAAACAATAGTCATTTTATTTTGAAAGGGTTAAGTTTGTCTGAACATCACACAGAACCCACTCATCGTCATGAAGATGGAGGATCCAGAATAGATTAAGTATCAAAACAATGGTTAGGTAAATAATTTTTAGTTAAATAAACACACGTTATATTAACAACTTATTTCTATAGATTAAATAAACAAGTTTTTAAATTTCATTATTTTACTTTGTGGATTGTTAAGTATATATGATTCAATGCATTAATCACATATTATAAAATAAGAATATTCAAGAAGTTATAAATAATTGCATTCAATTCTTTATAGACAAATAATGTATATATTTTTAAGAACTTGGATCTATATGTTATAATTAGCTTAATGATATGGTTGCATTTCAAGTGAGGCATTTTGTATAATAATGTTATGGTATAGTTTATGTTATTAACTTATTATAAACGATGACAAATACCTTTAATAATATTTTTTTATAATTTATAAATTTTGTTACAATGCTTTTTATTATTTTTATTATAAACAATGTTATGTTACTCTTATTATTATTAGATATTATACTATAAGGAATATTTCTAACGTATCCATTCTTTATTACCAAATAATGGATCTTTGAACAATATTTGAACAAGGTGCAAACCATCTTAAAAAGAAGAAGTCAAACTGACCTCATAACTTTCATAGTTTAGATGAAAGAGCATTTTACCTCAAATCCTGTATCTATCCCGAAGGATGAACACAAGAATTGAGGGTGAGGCTCGATCAAAAACATCACAACTCCTTTGATCATTAAGTTAGTCAAAAAAGGTTCAATCCTAGTTGAACCAATTAAAATAAGGTAAACTTTTATGGAATAAAGCTTATATAAACTCTTTAAAATGTAATCAAAATTTGTTCAAACTTACCAAAAGAATAAGTTTAAATCTCTTAAAATCTAGCTTAAGCCTAATTTGACTAGGTATGAACATGTTTAAACTAGTTTCAAACTTACTTAAACCAAGTTCAAATCTTTTTTTATTAGGTTCTAATTTCATTTTGGCTTCTTCAAAACATGATCAAAACTTTTTTGAGCATATTTGAACCAAGTTTAAATCGCTTACAACTAATCCAAGTTTTCTTCAAGAATTGAACTATGTTGATGTGATTAAACTTGGTTTTAATTTTTTTAAAAAAAAAGATTTAAATATTGATGAAACATAATTAAGCATTATTTAAACTTCATATAGTCACACAATAATATAACATGAACTAAGTATGAAAAAAATCTTAATAAAAGACTATCACAAAAATTCAATAAATTTAAAAAAAATCAAACTCAATGCAACTACATTTTAATAAAAAATTACATAATATTAAATAAAAAATTACATAATATTATATCCAAATTAAACATTATAGAGTACTAATATTAGAATTACTTAATAGAGCTAAAGATTATCACAAGCAATAAAAACTATTACTTAACACTAATTACAAAAGCTTACAAAAATGAAATGATTACACCTAAAAATAAGGTGGTGGTTCGTATTTATCTTTTTGGAGTAACACAAATATGAATTTTTGCTTCTTAAGGAATACTTTTGCATTACGTTGCACCTTCTTAATAATTTAAAGCTTTCTATTATTGTTTAGATAATCACTCTAAGACTTTACTAATCGATACATAATGATAATAACTTTTATTTTTTAAAAATATCCCATGTCATTTTATTTCCAATTGAATATATATTCTCAGAGTATGAAGTTAACCATAGTCTTAGCCAAAACATCTAACATAACATGTAATAGGTAACATCCTATCACATGCTATAAAAAATGCTTGTTAACATTAAAAGGCCCTATTATGATCATCTTTGATGTAATTCACATTTGGATAATGTTATTTTCATCATTTTGATGCAATAAATATTTTAATAATGTTTCTAACATTTTGGAAACAAAGTTTTAAAACCCCTTGAGTACAATAAAACTAAACTCTTAGACATTGATATCTCTTTTGATGTAACATTTGGTAAGTTACACCAATAGGGAAAAATCATGACGTCATCTAGTCAAAGTAGATAATATCTCGATGGTTGAGAGTTTTGGATATTACAAATGGTTATTAGAGCAATACACCAGCCTAGTGATGGGAACAAAGTGCCATTTAGAATAAAGTGCTATGTGATGAGAGTCACCTCTTGAGCACTAGGTGGGACAAAGTGCTACATGGTGGAAGCCGCCTCTAAAATTTGTAAGGGCTCCCTATAGAATTATTTCTTCCAGGAAAAAAATTCTAGGGTAAACAAGCTGATGAGGATGGTGAGGCATAATATAAAACCCCTTAAGTATAATGGAGTTGAAATCTTAGACATCAAGATGTCTTTTGGAATAATGGTTAGAGTTTTAATAAAAATTCCAAAGTTGTGTTCTTACATGGAGCACTCCTAAGATAGGTGATATGTGATGTTGATTTTTCAGTATATATATAGATGTAAAATGCGATGTATGCGATTATATGATTAATTTCC